CCAAACAAAAAAATTAAGAAGTAATAAGATAATGATGCACTACCTTATTCCACGAAACAAAAAAATCTCGGCTCTTTCCTCGGCCAATACCGATAGGTGTGAGCCTGTGATGCTATGCCTAGAAGTACGTGTGGATGAAGATCGAGTTTTGGTGGAGAAGCAGATGCTAGAGAGCCCAGGTGGGGGTCATCATATCGCTAGAACGACGACATTTTGTCCCTCGATCCGGTCGTCGGTAGCTGCTATTGGCGTTTTGTGCGGGGAAGGTGAGGCGCCCCCCATACTGTGCCACGAATGCAGGCCCCGCCCGCTCCCTTGCAGCCCTTCTGTGCCGACGGCAGGCGGCAGCAGCTCATGCGTGACAAGGCGAGATGTGGTTGCGAAGGAGGACGGCCAAATGCCCACATTGTCATGTTGTAGTTTGTGATTTTACCTGCTAAACTAAACCATTGACTTGGTTGCCATGTAGTCGGTTCCTTCTGAAGCACTGGTTAATGTTGGCATAGAATTCTGGGATCAAGTTGGCTTCACAGAATGTGTATATTCACATCTCAAGAAGTTGGTGTTACAAGCTGTGCGAGGCGAGGATAGTGAGCTGGCATTTGCAAAGTTCATCATGGAAAGAGCTCAAATGTTGGAGGACTTGCATGTTTTTTGTGGATGGCAGTTGTTCAAGAGATTTTGTGCTATGCCGTTTATCTTCCGAAGGGTGTGTATATACAGATGCTAGAGTTGTGGTGGAGAGGCAAGATGGCACTGTGTGGGGCTTCCACAGAGCCATCGATTTGTTTCAGAGTGACCCATTTGGTTGCTGAATCTGGAGGTATTATCATGGTTTTCTCAAACTTCTTTACATTCTGTATTCTTCATATCAGGTCATATTGTTACTGTCAACACCACACCTGCACTTCGAGTTTTCGGCACATCTAGTCATCCAGTTTAGACAGTCATATATGTTACTATTATGTCTGATTCTTTAACTGCTTAAGTCTACACAGTGCCTGATTTTTTTATTGTAACCCCTGATCCCTTGAGCTTTGATTATGTCATAACTGTTAGAAATCCAGCTTGAGATGCAACATCAGTTCTTCCAAAAAAATGCCATGATCTGTGTTTTCTTCTGGTACTGTCAGTTGTAGATAGGATGAGAAATGTGTCCTGGTATGTCAGTTTAGCCCATTGGATCTACATATAGTTTTTGCCCACAACCATGATGTGTGTTATTCCCAAACTTCCAATTGCAGTGGTAATGAAAAAGTGTATATTTACTGAATTGCATTGCTTTTGCTTGTTATGACACATCATTCATCTCACCTTTTGGGTGACACAATTGCATAGGAACTTTCCTCAGTTCTCATCAGAACAATTTACTATTTTATCTCAGGTGGCAATTTGCTATTTAACTAGCAAGTTTGTCCATGCATTTGCGCGGCTATATAGCAAATCACAACATAATATCAATGTTGTTTGTCATCTCCATTGCTGATAAGCAGTTCGGGCATTGGCTGCTAGTCCATATTGTATCCAAGATCACTGAAGTTAGCTGCCAGCATTATTTCCCTCTCCTCTCTGGTGCTGCATTATTTTTCCTCGACATTATGTACTACTTGGATCTTCTTGCTAGGTCATGATCTTGAACACATGGATCACTCTGATTTTCCTCATTCCTTGCGGAACTGAACCCTACTGTTGATAACATGCTTAGCCTACCTCGGGCATGACCACCTTTGCTGCTCACTGCAGATTTTCCTTATCTGCGATGGCTGCATTACCATCCTTTCTATCCATGAAGGTTTTCTGCCTTTGTCAACATCCATGCTCAACTTCCCTCCTTGTTTGAGATCCTTCACTATGTCTAGGAAAGAGCTCCCTTACTACCATCCATGGTTACTGGAGAGCTTGTCGTCATCCTTAACATTGCCTAGATCGACGCCTTGGAGGGCCACCACCGCTGCCAGGGATCCACCTCTTCAGTACCTCTGCATGTCAGTACTCAAGATCAACGTGCAACGGCAAAAGTGGGATTTGTTATGCATTTTTTTCTTTAATTAGGAAGTTCACTGTTTTTTTTCTTTTCCAATCAATCTCACCACATATGGACTCTTCTGTATAAGCTAATAAATGTTAGACATATTGTTATGCTGTCCTTTTTGCCAAAACTTAGCTTTATTTTTTAATAATGGCGATAGAAAAGCCATTATATGAGTATTTTTTGTTAATTTCTAAGCCATGAGAGTTACCGCGGAGGCTTCTTTTGTTGGCCTATTACTAGAATATACTAGATATGTGAATGTGATCCAGCGCAGAGAAGGCCGTCAGCATGGCCAGGATATTACAAAATGTTAATCGAATCTGACCTGCTCATCCTGTGTAGGCTAACCTAGCTGCTAACTACCAGACACCAAAGTGTGTGTTTAACTGCATTTGAAATCGTTACCCCTCAGCTTTGCTCCATAGACCATTGCATTTCATCTGTTAGAGTCCACACCCACATATTGTGGTAGCTATGTTGTGGGAGAGTACAACCATGGTAGTTGGTCCAAACCTTGTGACATCCTAAGCTACAGGCTCAAACTTTTCAGCAATATTGCTATGATCTTGATGAATACACCCTCCATTTGTAGCATGACGTTTTGGAGCTTACAAGATTCCAATATGGAATTTCTACAGCTAGTTTTTTATATGAAAAATGATACTATATGGTTACTAACGGCCTGTTTGGATCCCATGAATTGAAGCCAGAAAGTGCTTCCCATTTTCATTATTAGATTACTTTTCAATTCCTCTCAATTCTGGGACCCAAACAGGACCTATGGAAAAAATTTTAACGACAGATCCCATGATTATTTTCATGACTAATCGAAAAGAGTAGTTCTAAAAAAACTAGCAAAGTTAGAGACGTTTGGTTGCATGCATTCTTGGATGTCATAAAGTAATGGAGGGAGCAATTTACATTTTGATCTAGTGGGTTCATTAATCCTGTATATTCTATGAAGTTAATTATTCAGATAAAGTGGCTTAAATTTCTAAAACTGTTTATATATGCCATACATCTTTCTGGAATTTGTTTGGTTTTGGAACTTCAGAGTTACTAATATTGTTATGCTATGTCTCTATCAGGTATTGCATACCACTATACCAGCCAATAGCCACAGATGACTTGCCACTCCATCGGTTAAGTTTGCCCATCTGTGGGACTGGAACCTGCAAGGCCTCAATGAGACAAATGAAGGAACTTGAGATGGTTTCTAAAGCTTTGTAGTGTTGCACCTGTACTTTTGAAGGACGATGATCAATGCTGCCAATCCGTTTGATTCTGAGGATTGTGATCATTTGAGTTCACCTTTGTTTGTCTTTTGCAATACTATGATACTGTATGGTATCGGCAGAGTGTGTCTGCAAGATCTTGGATGAGAAGTTGTAAAATGAGGGTGATGCTCCCATTTTATTGTTATTGACTTAAGGTGCAGAAATTGAAAGGTTGGAACATGTGAACTATGTGAAATTCAGAAATGCAATTCTCCAATTTTCCTTAGTGTGGCAATGGAGTAAATGGTAGAAAGTGCCCATATTGGGGTTCTTGCTTACTAATTTACTCCCTCCAATAGCCACAGATGACTAGATATGTAATAAAAGTTATGTAGAATGACTTACACTTTGTAACGGATGGAGTACATCAAGGCAAACACAATTGCAGATGCTAAAAAAAAAAAAGGCAAACACAATGGCAAGTTGAGACCATATCAAACGTGGAACAAGTCAATGAAGGTTTCATACAATCCTGACATATCCAAGTGGCTCGAAACAAAGGGACAATGCAAATAGGTGTACCCCTTCCACCCTTCATACAATGTACCCCTTCTGCCGCTCACACCATGGTTTTTAAAAGTGACGTCCCACATTCCACATTGTCGTTCCTCAACCCCAACCCAAATGTTTTAGGAACCTGGCCGTTTAAGGTATTGCTCGTCTACTTCCTAGTTTCCCGAAGAGCAGTGGGTTCACGCTAGCTATATAATGTGTAGTATTATTACATTATTAGTTAATTCTATTCTTTTTTATTCAATTCAGGTGTAGTATTATTACATTATTAGTTAATTCTATTCTTTTTTATTCAATTCAGGTGATCAATCGATCGCTTTAATTTCGGCGAGTAGAAAAACAGAAATTTCTTTTTGAGAGGAAAATGGTTCCCTTATCTTTCAGTGTGTATACTGCGCCTGCGCTACCGCGGTAGCAGATGGACTGTTCTGCAACCTCCATATTCAGCTGAGCCACACCTGTATAGCATGATTTCATTTGAGGAGATGGTCATCGAGTTACTTCATACTCGATCGAGAGGCTATCTCTAACAATCAGTTGACAGACAAATGCTACGATCCTTTCAGAACTTTGGAGTTTGGACTCCCAACAACGGCAGGGTGACAACTACTGTCTACAGTCCAGCTTAAAGACCAAAGAACCTCTCCTGACACCGGTGCTTAGCAGGCTACCATGCACGAACACAGGGAATGCAGCCAAACAAAAAGAACATGGCCAAGTCAAGATAGCAAGTGAAAACCCAGATCGTCCAACAAGAAAACGCAGCTTAGTATCACAGCTATATGACTGCAGACTGAACCACACCTGCAGAAATTTGCACAAAAAAAAAAAAAAGAACCACACCTGCAGAAAGTTGTGGCTTGTGCAGCAAACACCATCTAACCAGAATTAGTAGGTTCAAATAGATAGATAGAAATATTTTTGTTTTCACAACCAAATAATGCACGATGCAGCTCGAGAACTCGCAAAAGCAACAACACAATGGTATCCAGAAATTTAAACACAGTGCTAAACACTAGTACTCTGGAGATCACGGGAGAACCAAACAACATCATGATGTTTCTCCCAGCATGTTCATTTGCGAGCTGTGATGACTGTTCTTTCCAGTCTTCCTTATTCAGAAGTCGATACCCAGGAAGGATGCAGCATCAGGGGTTCTGTGGATACATGCTGTTCTCCTAGTCTTCCCTTGCCTTCTGCTGAAGCTGGGACAGCATGTTGGACGCCGCCGAGTCTCGTGCCTCATGAGGGGTGACCTTCATATCACCATCTACACTCAAGTTGAAATCTGGGCCCGTAAGGTGGACACTGGCCTGGTACATATCTGCCAATATAGGAGTACAAACTGTAAAAGATCAAACATGTATAAATTAAAAGCTATGAGAAAGATTGCCCGAGCTGGAGCAAAAAGAGATTCCGATTATATTTACCAGCGGACATTTGACTAATTCAAATTGTGATTAGGATGTATACGTTCTAAGATCATGCATATAGTATGGTATAAGAACTTGTTTAAGCACCTATCAGAGTCTTACTTTAAAGGTAGCTTTATCTGATAACTGTCGCCCGCTATATGTATCAGCTTTACAGTGCAAGAAGAGCAGACTGTGAAGCCTAAATCTGACTGCATTATTCTGATGCCTATATGGTCCAAGGACTCCATGCTATGACATGCAGGAACTTGAAAGATCAGTGATTATCAACCACATACCACCGGTAACTGAAGGAAGTACCATGTATCTTGGAAGAATCCAGTTGCTCTCACGGCATATGTCATTCAATTCCTGCAATGACTACTGTCAGACAGGATTGTAGAGGCAGTCATGATAATAATTTACATCAGATGATTGTTTCTTGCCTGGCATCTGTCGCGAAGAAGGATGGCTTCTTTCAGTTTCTTCCTCTTTATGTTCATGATTTGGCATCCTTCTCCAGAGCTAATTGGATTGGCAACTTCCATCATCTTCCAACTATTCTCATATTTCTTTAGGATTGATGTTACTTTAGGTGTCATCTCCGTTTCTGCACATGGTTTGAAAATGATACGCACTGGTTTGATATAACTTTAAGGTAAAAGATTGAGGTTGATTAGCAACAATCACACAGTTGAAAAGATATGTTGATATATATAGGTCTACAATTATTCTACGGGAATTGAAGTTGTCTTGCTAGTTGTCCTTGGGAGGCTAAATAATGTTCATGCACTTGTATTCTGCAGCCTTGTTTGGATGGGATGGTGACGCCCAGCTCCATCATTTGGGACTAAGGTTCACATATATAAATCGAAGCCTAAGAGTACAATGATGGATAAGTCTCCGTGTTGGCTGGTCTTTGTGAGGCTGGTGGTCTTGCTGCCCATCAAGTACAACATCCTTGACTGGCTAGGACAGCATCTTAGCATCTAGGACAGCATCTAGGACTAGCATCTTGGTATATGCTTAGCTGGCTAGCAGCCTATAAATATGTATCCCCAACCCCTCAGGTTGGTATGGCATTTGTGTGAGAAATAAACCAGAAAATTGCCCCAACTCCTAGTGTCATCCTCTCTCGATGAGAGTAAGAATTCTGCTACTACCAAGAGTAAGAATTCAGCGACTACCAACTGGTATCAGAGCCGTACTATCCTGTAGCCTGAGCATCTCCTGCTCATCTCCTTTCCCAGCCTCGCAGCAGCCCCAGCTGGGAGCAGCAGCGGCTCCGACCGCTCCTGCTCACTCCTCTCCCTCTACGCAGACGAGCAGCAGCCCTCTCCCCACGCAGCAGCCCCCCGGTAGCACGTCATGTCCGCAGGACAGTCTCAGCGCTCGGTCGCCTCGAGCACGCGGCGTCGGCGGGAGGGCCGAACTTGCCGCGGCAGAGGAACGCGAGCGAGCGGCGGCAGAGACCGCTGTGGCGGCGGCAAGGGCGTCGAGGCGGGCAGCGGCGGAATTGGCAGCAGCCAGAGCGGAGGCGGAAGCGGCGGCGGTGGCGGATGCAGCGCGTGCGGCGGCAGCAGAGGTCGAGGTTCTACGCGGCAGCATCAGCAGCTCCGTTTCTGCTGACGACAGCGCCGACGCGGACCTCGAGCTGCTGGGGAGGGAGGCGGCGCAGTGGGCAGCTGCGCACGCCCACGAGCGCGGCGGCAGCCCAGATAGGCGCGGACGCGCCGGCGGCGCTCCTGGAGGAGGCGCGCACGGCGGTGGTGCTCCTGGAGGAGGCGCGCACGGCAACGGTGGCGGACGGGTCGATGGAGAGCGCGGCCTTCACAGGCAGCGTGGCTCTCTCTCTCCCCGGATCGGTACCGTGGTTACCACGGGCTTCAGGCTGTTGTCAGGGACGTCGGCCCCGGCAGTGGGTGGCCTACCCTCACTAAGACCAACTACGTCGAGTGGGTTGCGGTGATGAGGGTAAAGCTCCAAGTGCGGCACATGTGGGGGGCAGTCCGGTACGGCGACGTCGACTACGACCAGGATCGACGGGCGCTGGATGCCCTCATCGCTGCAGTCCGGTCCGAGATGCAGTTCTCGCTTGCCAACAAGCAGACTGCCAAGGAGGCTTGGGACGCCATCGCTGCGGCACAGATTGGCAGCGACCGCGCCCGCAAGTCCACACTGCAGGCACTCGCAAGGAGTGGGAGAACCTGGCCTTCAAGCCAGGTGAGGATGTTGATGAATTTGCTCTCCGTCTCAACACTCTGTTGCAGAAGATGGTGCAGTTCGACGATGACACCTACGGCGAGGAGAGAGCTGTCGAAAAGCTCTTCCGCTGCGTCCCCGAGAAGTACAAGCATATGGCTCGCTCGATCGAGTCTCTGCTGGATCTCTCCACGATGTCGATCGAGGAGGCAATAGGTCGCCTCAAGGTCGTTGACAGCGATGAGCCACAGTCTCTCTCGAGGCCCATCACCATTGGCGGGAAACTCCTTCTCACTCGGGAGCAGTGGGTTGCCTGGCAAGGTAACCGGAAGAAGGGGAGCCTTCTTCCGCGATAGGTGGCCGCAAGCGTGGCAAGCCGCGCAAGGCGCGCAGAGACGCCCAGGCCGGGGTGCGAGGACGTGCCGAGGGTGATGCCCGCGGAGGCGCCCAGGGCGGCGCCGCTGGCAAGCACAAGCCGGCACGAGACGACACCTGCCACAACTGCGGTCAGCTTGGCCATTGGGCCAAGGACTGTCGACAGCCACGACGCGGCCAGGCCCACGTCGCACAGGCGGAGGAGTCGGCTCTGTTCATGGCACATGCAAGCATCGAGCTACCTCCAGCGGCACCGACCGCAGTGGCTCTCCTCCACCTTGACGAGCCAAAAGCACACGCCCTCCTCGGCGATGGCTCCGGCAAGGACAAGACTGACAGGTGGTGCCTCGACACCGGCGCCACCCATCACATGACCGATCGACGGGAGTTCTTCACCGAGCTTGACTCTAGCGTCCGAGGCTCCGTCAAGTTTGGGGATGCCTCCGGCGTGGAGATCAAGGACATCGGCTCCGTCATCTTCACCGCCGTGTCTGGTGAGCACAGGCTGCTCACCGGAGTCTACTACATCCCCGCGTTGAGGAACTCTATCATCAGCTTGGGACAGCTGGATGAGAACGGTTCGCGTGTAGTGGTTGAGGATGGAGTCATGAGGATTTGGGATCGTCGTCGTCGCCTTCTTGCCAAGGTAACCAGAAGCGCAAATCGACTCTACGTCCTTAACGTGTAGATGGCACAACCCCTCTGTCTCGCTGCTCGTCGGGATGACGAGGCGTGGCAGTGGCACGAGCGCTTCGGGCACCTTCACTTCGAGGCCCTGAAGCGGCTCAGTGCCACGGAGATGGTGCGAGGCCTGCCGTGCCTCGACCATGTGGAGCAGCTCTGCGACGTCTGCGTGTTGACGAAGCAGAGGCGACTCCCCTTTCCCCAGCGGACGAGCTTTCGAGCCAAGGAGAGGCTCGAGCTTGTGCACGAGGACTTGTGTGGCCCGGTGACACCGGCCACACCGGGAGGACGACACTACTTCCTACTGCTCGTCGACGACCTCTCCCGCTACATGTGGGTGATGGTCCTCGGCAGCAAGGGAGAGGCTGTGGACGCCATCAGGCGCTCGCAGGCTGCTGCGGAGGCAGAGTGCGGCCGCAAGCTGCGCACCGACAACGGCGGCGAACTCATGGCGGCTGAATTCGCGTCGTACTGCGCTGATGAGGGCATTCAGCGCCACTACTGTAACAACCCAGGTTTTTGGAGAAGCCAAAAATACGAACTTTTTAAAAATTTTCCGGCAATATGTGAAGCATGTAGATGCTAGGTCAAACAAAGAACAATTTATAAATAAATTGTTGCACGCATATAGAATTACTTGTAGGAGTTTGCCGGAGTTCTTTTGTTGGATTAGTGTTTTGTGTTGGAGAGCACAAGTCCGTAGCAAATCCTTTTAGAATATCTTAAGAATCCCTTTCTACTCTCTCTCAATTCATCTTTTGCTTTTGAACCTTATTCGAATCCCTTGATCTAATTCATAAAGTCAAAACGACATTCCTTGTAAATCAATGCCCATCGAAGCCAACCCTTGGCATTGGATTCCGAGACCCGTAGTAGACCCTAGAGACCCTTGGATATTACCCAAGTGGGCCCACATCTAAGCTAATTAAGTTTAGCATACAAGCACTTGATTGGGGAATTAATCAAACAATATTTGAAATAGAAAAGAGTAAAGAAAAACAGGTGTCGGGGACCTAATACCAGGGTACCCCAGAAGGTAGAACCGATGACCACCGAACGTAAAAAACTTCTAGATGCATAAGGGCTCCATGTCATCCCTTGTTGAGTGACAGGAGTTGGTTCACGCCTCCTTGACGCCTTGAGGGCGGGCTCGGTCTCGCCCGAGGCTGAGGGATGAATCTGCCTCGCCTGACGCCCGGAGGGGCGGGTCGCCTTACCCGACGCCTTGGAAGGATAACCCCGCCGCGCCCAAAAGCTCAAGGCTAATCTCCGTCTCGCCCGGCGCCTATAGGGCGGGCTCGGTCTCGCCCGAGGGCCGAGGATAAACTCCGCCCGCCTGGCGCCTTGAGGGCGGGCTCGGTCTCGCCCGAGGGGTGAGGGACAATTCCGTCTCGCCTGACCCGAGGGGCGGGTCACCACCCGACGGCCCGAGCGAGCCTCGCCTACGATCGATATCTATCCTCATAATGATGGGTGCAGGACGAGACAAGGCGTTCGGGTCAACCATGGCTCCAACGACCATACCTGCGCCTGGCAGAAAAGGACCTGCCGAGGAACAGCGGGACTAAAGCTTTAGACCCTTCCGGGCGCCCGCAGAGCTCAAAAGGTATTACAGTGCGTGCACCTCACCTCAGAGTTGTAGGCGCCGCCTTCAGCTTCTGGGACACGGAACCCGACGAAGATATCGACAACCGCTACGATACAGGAAAGGATTTGCTATCTCCACGAACGATGGGTATTCCGTCACCACACGTTGGACACGAGGGAGCGGCGCCCGCTTCCCGACCCCTCGAGTCCTCCGGTCAAAGAAGGCCTTGACCACGGCGTTACACCGGACCCGACCCCGCATTCTCCCAACGAGGACTCATGAGAACCGGAAGGCGTGCGGAGCAAGGTGGGGAGGCTCATAAGTCAAAACCATCAGATCTGCAGCCCATACCTGCGCAAGTAGGCAAAGATTCTCGTGACTAACCCGACATCCTGCAGAGACATCGACAACATTGTAAACACTTATCTTCCTTCGCACTCATCGGGGTGGAGGACCACGACCAGTAGAGCGTGAGCCACAAGACTAAGTAGAGTACGCGTCCGGAGCCCTTACCCGGTAAAGCCGGCCCCTTCGTCTATAAAGGGGATGCGCTTCTTCTATCAAAGGGACGGAAGAAAAGGAGGACAAAAACAATAGAACGCACTCACACACATTCAAGCGACTACGAAGCTCTTGACCACCTTTCAATCCTTCGATTAGAGACTTGGGACCAGTCCTCTCTCGGCGATTTGTATCCCTTACTACAGATCGTTACGGTGCTAATAACACAAGCAGCAACAAACTGGACGTAGGGACGTTTT